TCTTGGTACTGTTTGAAGGTTTTGCCACAGGGCAGTAATTTTTTTTTCAAACAATAAAATAATTTTTCAATGGGTCCATCAGTAGCCCAATGGCTAAAGAAGAGGGGGCCCCCCTGACACTATGGGGTACCCCGGAAGAGTGAACAGGAGGGAGACAGCTCTGTACGGCATGAAGGGTCTGCTTGTGCCTTGGGTGTGAGAAAAGCAGCTTCCTGAATGAAGAATACAGAATAAAACCATCGATGTTTTATTTTTAACGGGCACGATAAAGAACTGCAAACAACCCAAAATGGTGGTCCCCTTGGGGAGAGGGGTTAGTGATCCAAGAATAACTTCAGCCTCATCTGTAACAGGTTTTTATTTTTTAAGGAGGATGCGTTCTTATATTTATTACAAGTTAATTCCAAACAGCACCCTCCCCAAGGCAGTGGGAGGGGAGATGGGCGGAGCTAACAATACAAAGCCCTGGTTTGCTCAGTGTTGGAGGAAGCGGCCTAAGAACGGCAGGGCCTGGAGCGCTACACTCGTGACTAGGAACCCACAGATCTCAGAGGTAAGGAAAGCCCTGGGAGACCCCGGCACTGTGGTGCAAAGCAACCAACCTCTGCTCACACCTCTCAGACCTGAACAACCTGGTCTCGGCAGCCTCTTCCTGCAGGTCAGAATTGACCTTCAGGCTCCGCCCTGCCCTCCTACCTGGAGAGGAACAGGCCGGCCTGCTGGGGCTGACAGCAGAGCCAGGATTGTCAGGAGGGAAGAACTTTCTAAAACTCCCAAGTGCACCAGGATGGAGCAGGCCTCCTTGTGAGGGACTGAGCTCCCTGTCCCTGGAAGCATGCAAGCTCATGGTGAGCATGCACCAAAGGACCTCTGGTAGCAAGCATAAGAGCCCTAGGATTCTGTGACTGTGGATCAATCCTAAGTGCCCTCCATTCCAACCTACTCCGTGCTAAGCCCTTTGTAGGCATCATCTTTCCATGGTCCTCACACCCCCACCATGTTACAGACAAGAAAACTGAGGCCCTGAAAAATCAGGGAACTTACCCAAGATCACACAGCCAGGAAGGGGCAGAGGCAGGATTTGAATCCAAGGCTCTCTGCTTCCAGGCCTGTGCTCCCACCAATACTCTCAGCAACACCACACTCGATCACTGTGATGGGATGCAGGTGAGGCCTCTGATCCACTTACTCACCTGCGAACTAGGAATTGTGTAACTGCCCCTGATCCCCGTAGGCAGGAGGAAAGCTAGACAGTGCCGCAATCACGAGGGCTCTATTAGCATTCAGCTTCTACAACCTGGGCCTCAAGGATGTTCTTGCACAAGCTCTGGTCGGTTCGGTCCCTCCTTAGCACTGCCTCCTTCCATATAACTAAGCCCTTCAGAGCCCACAGCTGTCAGGAAGCCGTCCTGAGTGGCCCTGGCTCCTGATGGTCTCCTTTCCTGAAGTCCCTCCCCTTCCCCATCCCCCAAAACCAAAACCAAAACAAACAACAAGAAACAATAAAAACAGGAAGCATAGCTAAAGCCAGGCTCTCATGCCCAGATCCCAGTGCAAACCCCAGCTCTTCCACCGCACCCCATGACCCTGGGCAAGTTTCTCACCCCCTCTGAGCCTGTTCCTGCATCATCATCTTTCTCCCCAGGACTTGGGGAGGATTTAAAAAATAAGAAACAGATGGTTGTGGCAGCCACTCTGTACTTACCCTATAAAGGCTTTGGGATGAGCCATAAGCATGAATTAGTCACTACACCCCCCCACGACCTTCCCATACGCCCTGCCACACAAAGATCCGCAGCATCGAACCTCCACGTTTTTATAACCAAAAGAGCTGCCTCTGGATCAAATTTGCCTGCTTCTTTTATTAAGACACTAGCTGCATAAATTCATGTTTTCCTTTTTTGCCCAGGCTGCTAGGAAGCTCAACTAAGAGTAACAGCCTTAAACTTCCTTCAAATTGGTGTTACAATGATCTCTTTTTAGCTTTCTTTAAGTTAACTGCCCTCATTCCCATACCCCTACACACACCAACAACTTTAGAAAATGTATTCTTTTGTCTCATGTGGCTTAAAATCATAATCCGTCTAATGTCCTTTTTGGAACTAGGTGAAGTTGGGTTGGGGGGTGATAAATCAGTGAACACTGAGGTTGGTTCCTCAGGGCACATTCAACACCCAGCAAGGAGCACATCGTCTCCACCCCTCTCCTCTCAGCACGGCTGGGCCGCCTCACCAGGTCCTGGGAAACCGAGAGGCCAGTGCAGCTTCAGCTCCCTCCTTCCCTCTTACCACCTCCTCTCTGCAGCCCTTCAGCACCAGACCCTGGGCCTGGTGAGAGCTTAGCAGAGTGTGCTCATGAAGAGCACAGGCCCTGGCGTCCTGGCCAGGTAGTTCAGATGGTTAGAGCGTTCTCCCAATGTGCCAAGGATGCGGGTTCAATCCCTGGTACATTCAATCGATGTAGTATGTAGGGGAAATGACAAATCAGTCTCTCAATCCCCCCTCCCCACCGTCCCTCCTTTCCCCTCCCCCACCCCCTAGGTGGTTCCAGAAAAAAAAGTCAGACCGCTGCAGACCACTCAGGACCATTGCTCCCTATGAAGAACTGGCCTCTGAGCTCCAGTTCCCTCACCCCTAAAAGGAGAATATAAAAGGGCACACAAAGCCCTTGGCAAAGGGCCTGGACCCTACTGGGTTCCCAGGAGATGGTGGTACCCGCTGAGTGAGCCCCTGTGTCTCAGACCCAGTGGAACTGCCCGTTGCCAGAGAAATGGCTGGGAGGCAGCTTCTCCCAGATGCAGATGAGGGGCAGGTCTTCCTTCTCCTGGGAGACCCTCATCCTCCAGGCCCCACAAGCCCTGCCATGGAGGGCAGAGGAAGGTGCCTCGGTCCCAGCCAGTTCCTGGGAGTCTGGAGACTGAAGGGCCAATCTCCACTACTGGACTGCGTCCTACCCAGACCTTAGTGTCCACATCTGTGTGATGGGACCCAAGTGTGCAGGACAGAGACCCAGGCAGGCGTCCTCTGGAGAAAGCTACCTAGGTCCTCGTGGGCACAGCAGGAGGCTCCTCTTATTCCAAATTCCTCTAATTCCACTTATTCCAACTCTTTGTTCAAATGCAAAGGGAGGGATGCTCAGCTCCTGTCTACCAGGAGCAAACCTTAGGGATCCACCGACCACCTCAGCCCAGCACAGACCCCTCTGCTGGTCCCAGACCACCTAAGGCTGCCAGTGAACATGGTCCCCACCTCTCCGGCCACCCCAGAAGCTAGTGCTTCAATGCCAGTCTCACCGACCTGTGGGCTACTTCCCGCTACCTCCTTTCTACTTTCAGTCCCCAAGCCTTGGGTCACAGGATACCCTGCCCTTTGTAATTTTTAAAAATATTTATTGCTTTTAGAGAGAGAGAGAGAGAAAGGGAGAGGAAGGGGTGGGGACGAAGAGAGACTGAGAAACCTCGATTTGTTGTTCCACTTATTCACGCACTGATTGGTCGATTCTTGTATGTGCCCAGACCAGGGATGGAACCTGCAACCCTAAAGGCAAAGATGCTCTAACCTGCCGAGCTACCCGGCTGGGCACCGTGCTTCGAAAGTCCTTTCCCTACCAGGCCACAGATTTCAGGGAGGTCCCTGCTCCAAAGCCACCTCTCTTCCAAGAAATTTCCTGGACTCAGAACTGACCTCCTCCGCCGCCGCCCTGCACACCCCAGGGCCCTGGGCTTCCTTCCTGCTCCCTGCGGCTCTGTTCACTACCACCCAGAGCCTAGCACTCGCCTCGCTCCAGACTGAAGTTAGTCTCCGACCTCCTCCTCCACCCCTCCCCCATCTCCAAAACAACTCCTGGAGAATTCAAAATGTAGATTTCTGGACTGCACTTCCTGAGATTCAAATTCCAATTTCACATTTTTTCCGGGGGTGGAGACCAAAACTCTACCTTTTAAACAAACCCCTTCAGGAGAATCTGAGGCTGGCGTGCAGGGGGCAGGCGGGGGTGGGGGGCAGGGGGACAGCGCGGCTCACAAGCACAGAATTGAGAAATTCATAAACAGAGACAACACTGGCTCAGCCGGCAGAGGGGTGCCAAAAGGGACATCTGTCTCAGAGCACCCCTCCTTCCAGACTGAGCCCGGCACCCTAGCCAGGACTCAGCAGTGGGGGGAGGGCGGGAGAGGCCCTGAAGGCAAATGGATCCTGGCCCACCTCCGAATCCCCCAGTCTTCTGAAAACGGCCCAGGCCCTTGATTGGGGGAAAGCTTCCCACAGGGGCAGCTGCCCAGCTTCTTGACTCACTCTAGAGAGGGAACTGGACGCCCCCAGACCCGTAATGAGTGTGTGGGGAGGGACAAGGGCTGTTCCCATGGGTCGGCCAGCAGCTAGGGCGTCAGACAGTCTGAAGGCACAGGAGTCTTAACCCTGCTTCCCACAAGTCACTCACTCCCCCCGGCGCTGGGCGCGGCATCTCAGTCCGCTAGGCCGGCCAAACCGGCTGGAACCTGGCAGGTCACCGGGTGGAAGACAGAAGGACCCGGCTTCCGCGCGGGGCCCCGCAGGACCGGGCCTCAGTGCACGGACTGGGTCGGATGGCCCTCTGGACTAGACCAGAAGTGTTCTGGGGTGCAGCCCGCGGGCAGCGTCAGCAGAGACTCGACTTCGATTTTGCCTGAGTCCTCTGGAGGGGTGGACATCGTCTTTGCCAAAACAGAGACCGAGTCCTCCGCAGTGACAGCGACTTAGGGGAGCGCTTCTGCGGGTGGCCTCTGGTGACCACCTGGGGGCTGGTGGGGCGTTGGGGTGGGCACTCTGAACAGGGGTGCCCGGTGTGTGAGCTCGCAGGGATGGCACCGGGGACTTTCGGGGTGAGAGGGACCTCGGGGGCATCGGTCCTACAAGTTGGAACGGCTTGTCGGGGCCCGTGTGATCCTGGGTTGGTGGTGTATGAGGTGCTGAGGAGGGTCCCCCCGGAACGCCGATCCCCCCCAGGGCCCCGCGCGCACTCACCATTTGCAGCAGCATGAGCGCGCCGAGGATGGAGCGCACGAAGCCCAGGTCCGGGCGCAGCGCGGTGACCGAGGCGCCCACACCCTGTGCGGGGCTGCTGGTCCGCGTGCTCACTTTAGACGGGAACTCGGCCATCGCGGCTTCGTCACCTCCCGGAGGTCGCTCCTGCAGCCGTAGCCGCCCCTCCCGCGGTGGACACCTGCTCCTGCGTGGCTCCCTGAGGGGGACCCCGCTCCAGCCGCCGCTCCCCAAGGGATCGAAGGGGAGGGATCCAAGAGCAGCCAGGTGCGGCTGGAGCCCGAGCCCCGCCCTCGCTGCGGGACCCTCCCCTTTAACCCTTTGCTTGCCCCTGGCAGCTCCAAACAAATGAAGTTGCATCTGTCTACTCTATAGGCGGAAAAACCGAGGCCGCCGTCGGGAGATGGCACGCCAGAACCAGCCTAGGTAGCTGCGCGCTGCCGTCCTGGGGAAGGCCGCCTGGTGGGAATTTACACCGCTGCTCCGCGCCCTCCTAGCCGGTGACAGCTGCTGGCTCTCCTAGGTGTCTGTAAGGCGCAGGTGCCCTTTGGCCAGCCCTTGAGCCTCTCTTTGCTCTCTCCTTAAAGCGGGATCGGCATCCGGGGAGAGCGGGCACCCTGCAGGGAAGGGTCTGTGTAAATGGTGGATGCATGGGACTCAGATGAGGCGCTTTTCCTTATCAACACACTGAGCAGTAACTTAGGCGATCGCTGAGCCTCCGCTGTAATGTAGAAAATGAGAGGAGCCGCCTCACGGAGCAGAATAAAGGAAGCCCTTGGGACTCAGTGGGGCCAGGGTGTCCCTCAGAAGGTGAGAAATGATGTTGGAGTTTCGGTTTCACTGCCCCACCCGCACCCTGAAACGCACAAGCACATCCCCCACCCCTCGAGTCTCGCAGGCTTGCACAGATCACATTTTGTCCGTCAGCCAGTGTTTGCTGAGGGCCTGCTGAATGGCAGGCCCTGAAGAGACAGCAGTGGACAAGCCAGACAAGGCCTTCCTGGATCCCATTTCCTTGTGGGGTGACGAGTAGTCAACTGGGGAGAAAAGAATAACTTTGGATAATGCCAAGTGCTATGGCTAGAGTAAAATGGGGGCGGGGGGGGGGGGCAAGCGACAGGCAATGTTTAGATGGAGTGGTCAAAGAAGACCCCTCAGAGAAGGTGATGTGTGTACAGAGACCTGACTCAGAAGCAGGGATCTGCCCTGGGAGGACCTGGGGGAAGAAGTAAGTGCAAAGGCCCTGCGGTTCGGTAATCCTGGACCGTTTGAAAGATCGCTGGTGGCTAGGGCAGAATGAGGGATGAGAGATGCGACCTGTGGGCAGGGACAGGGTCACAAAGGGCTATTTAGATCATTCTTTTAGTTTCCTGTGGCTGCTGGAACAAATTATCCCGAACTCGGTAGCTTAAAAGAACAGAAACAGATTCTCTCAGGGTTCTAGCGGCCAGAGTCTGAAATCAGCCTCCCTGAGCCAAAATCAAGGTCAGCAGGACCTCTGCTCCTGTGTCCCAAAACTTCTCTTGGTGGCTGTCGGCATTCCTGGACTTGTGACCCCATCACCTCAATCTCTGCCTCTCCCTTGTAAAGATGCCTGTGATTGGATTAAGGTCCACCCAGGTCATCCAGGCCATCCTTCCCTCATCGAGAACCTTAGTTCGATCTGCAAAGACCCTTCTTCTCTGTGAAGTAAAAGTTGCAGTTTCTGGGACAGGCTTTGATGTTTCTGGGGGCCGTTATTCATTCTGCAGGGTGGTGGAGGGAGTTAACCTTTTTTTTTTTTTTTCAAGCAGGAGAGTGGAAAGTTATTCCTTGACAGTATCACTGGTTGATGCTGACTTAACCCTTTACTCACTCAACTGGATGTTCAAGGGCTTCCTCCCAACACACCCGACTCTGCCCCCCAGCAGGTACTCAGGGAAGGAGCAGGGCTTCTTGGTAGCTGCAGAGCCCCTGCCCAGAGACCAGCCTTCCTGCTCACTGCTCCAGCCCAAATGCAGAACAAAGCACTTGGGTAAACCATTAATTTTATTGTGACACAGAAGAGAATACAATGATTGTTTCTGAGGCTGATTCTAAAACAGTGGAGTGGTTTTGTTTGGTTTTGGTTTGGATTTTGTTTTTTGGTTAATCCCACTTTCATTCCTTTCAAATGGCAGCAAGCAAGACTCAATCCCTGCATTGTTTTCTATGGTGACATTTTCTTCGAAACCAACTTTGTTTACCCCCATCCCAGTCAGAAAAAGTGGGAAGGGACCTGTCCCCAGGCTAGGACCTGCCGCCCACTCAGGATCTCTGCCGCCCCGTGGGAGCCCTGGGTTCTCCGGGTGGGGTGGCTGAGCAGAACGCCAGGATGAGGATGTGGAAGCCTGCGTATTCCCAGGGCTGGTCCCCGACCCCAGCAGGGGTCTGAACAGGTACTGTCACACAGATCAGTGTCACGCAGGTCACCTGAGGCACAAGTCTAGTCACAGTTCTCACTTCTACAGAGGCTCCTTACTCTGGCCAAGCCCCTGTTGGGAGCTGGGCCTGCCGCACGTCTGGGTGGGTGCGGCATGCGGGTACAGCATGCGGGAGGGTCACCGGGCAAATGTTTAATGTGTACCTCGGGTGTACCCAGCGCTGGGGACGCAACTGGGAGCCCTCCAACCAGACCCCACCTCCCGGAGTCTGAGGGGAGAGAGAGACAGTGTAGATGCACAAACCCACGGGTCAACAGGTATGTGATTACCACGTGTGATGACTTGGCTGTGGAAAAGGAGCAGGGTATCATGGGAAAAGAACAGTCATTTAGATAGCTGGGTCGGGGCAGGTCTAAATGTCTAAGCAGGGATCGAAGGGATGACTAAGAATCAGGCAGGAAAAGAGAATTCCAGGCAGACAAAACCATGAAAAGGTCCTGCCCTAAGAAAAGTTGGGGGAAGAGAAGAAGGTTTTGTTTTGTTTTTTACGATATCTGAGTTTTTTCTCTTTTTTTTAACATTTTTAAATATTTTATTTATTTTTTAGAGAGAGGGGAAGAGAGGGAGAAAGAGTGAGAGAGAAACATCAATGTGTGGTTGCCTCTCGTGTGGTCCCCTACTGGGGACACGGCCTACAACCCAGGCATGTGCCCTGACTGGGAATCAAACCAATGACCCTTTGCTTCACAGGCCAGCGCTCAATCCACTGAGCTACACCAGCCAGGGCAGGACAGAAGGACTTGAGTTGAGGGTACTGGGAAGAGATTGGGTTCCCAAGGCAGTCAGGGGCCAGATCACCCAGGGTTCAAACCCTTAGCAATGGAGTGGATTTTATTATAAAAGAAAACAGACCACCAGAAGGCAGTTATACCATTTGATTTACATTTTTTAAAAAATGTCCAGAAAGGTTTTCCCAGGGTTCATCCAACAGTGAACCCAGCAGTTTCCAGAAGCCAGCATCAGGAGGTTGGTGATTGTAATCAGCAAATATTGATTTTGCACTTTTCCGGCTGCCCCTGTGCCTGGTGCTGTAGGGCTGGTCAGTTTTGGTTTCTTTGTTTTTCATCATTTAATTCATTCATTTATTTCATTGCACGTTGCACACGTATCTCCAAGCCTGGACCCTGACCTCCCCTGACCTCCAGTTAATCACTGAGAAGCATCTGGAGAATCTTAACCTATCTTTTCTTTTTTAGATTATTTATTTATTTATCTTCAGAGGGGTAAGGGAAGCAGAGAGGGAGAGAAGTGTCAATGTATGGTTGCTTCTCATGCATCCCCTGCTGGGAACTGCATGTGCCCTGACTGGGAATCAAACCATGATCCTTTCATTCACAGGCCCATGCTCAATCCACTGAGCTACACTAGCCAGGGCTCCTTTTCTTTATTTCACTACTATATGCTACATGGTGGAAATAGAGAGACTTGCTTGGTACATAACTTTTAAAAAACATTTACTTACCAAAGAAGGAAATTACACTCTATACACTGAAATTTGACTTTTCCACTTAATGTTATGCCTCGGGAATTTCTCCATGACAGTACATGAAGATTAGCCTCATTCTTCTTCTATGCCAAGTAACATTTGATAGAGTAGCTGTCACGTAATTCTTTAGCCCTTCCCCCACTTGACAGACATGTAAATGGTTCCCAATAGCTCCTCAATACCAGTGACATCATAGAAGCACTTACTTACATACCTTTGCACACATGTGAGACTCTACACATCTTTGAAGACCTGCACATTAAGAACCACTAGGTTGAAGGGTATTGGAATGTTTTTTTTAAATGGAAATTGCCAAATTGCTTTGAAAGACCGCGTTAGCTGACACCCCCCACTAAGAGCATTAAAGAGAGGCTCTTCATTTCCATTTCTATTTTCTGACACTTCGCTGGTAGGGCCAGAGCTTCTCCCTAAGCCTATTTGACCATTCCTACTTCCTTTTCTCTGAAATTCAGTTTTGAACCATCTGCCCTTACCTAGCGAAGAAGTTAAATGTGCCCCAAGAGAGGTCTGTCCTTTGCCCTCAGCTTCTGGGAGGTAATAAATAGCTAAACCCACGGAATGGTGCGCCTGATGGAAATGTGTTTGTTTCAGGTGAGGACGGCCACACCGGGCAGTCTAACTGTGTGGTTTGGGGTGGGAGTGTACAGTTTCAGCTCATTTAGTTCCACCCCGAGGAGCTGGACACTGGTCAGCTCTGTGGGCGGGCAGCTGTGGCCGTATGACGGAGCCCCGTGCAGACTCCGGACGCCGGGGCGGTGAGCTCACCTGCGTGGCAGGAGTCCTGGTGAATCTCCGCACACCGCACACCGGGGCTGGGAAGGTGACGTGTAGGGCGTCCATGACTCCTGGGGAGGGGGCAAGAGAAGCTCCACGTGTGGAACTTAAAACTCACCCTTTTAAAGACGAAACAAGCCCCTGGTTTTTAGTGCGGTCACTGTTAGTGAGTCATCACCACTGCCTCATTCCAGAACGTATCCGTCGCCCCTGTGTGCGCTCGCCTCCGCTGACTTCCGTGGGCGCCAGTGCATTTCCAGTTTGCAGGCCGTTACCGAACCTGAGAGTGGTATGGGCGACGCCCTGAATCTGCGGCGGCAGAAGGGACAGCTGCTTGGCTGATGACGTGCTCCCTCTCACATTGCAGCCCTGTCTGTCATTTTTTTTTTAACTTTATGAGCTCCTTTTCTATTACAGGTACTCATCCTTTGTCACTTGTGTATGTTGCTATTGTTTTCTCCTACAATGATTCTCTCTGTGGCATTTTGATAAATGCATACAGCCTGTCGCCACCACCAAAATGAAAAG